TGTGTGTGTGTGTGTGTGTGTGTGTGTGTGTGTGTGTGTGTGTGTGTTTTGTTATAGACTGCAAGCTCAATAAGAGTCAGGAGTATTTCTTTTGAATGGTGTATACTTCTTCATCCAGAATCATATTTTAATCCTGAGCTTCTTTCCATCAAATCCTAGCAACACTTACAAGGTCAAATCTGCCTCTTTGAATTAGGACCTAGAGTTCCTCTTCTCATTGCCTAAACTTTAGGAATTTGTATAGAGACCCATACAGTCAGTAGTTTTACCATTGACTTCTTTCTTGGAGTCAGATACTTTTTGGAGGAAATGCTATGTTGATATATTTTTTCATCTCCTAATTGGGAAGTTTATTTTTTAACTCAAGTGTAAAACTTATATTTATCTTATTGAATTTTATCTTATTAGATTCAGAACAACCTTGTGTTTTATCATTTGTAAACTTCAAGATGTCTTTACAGCCTTTTCCCCCAACCCAGTCCTCTCTTGAATTTCTTTTTTTATGGTCAAGGTTACCGCTGTCCTTATAGTTACCCAAGTTTTGCAACCTCAGTGTCATTCTTCACTCTTCACTCTCATTCATTTCACATAGCAATAAGTTGCCAAATGTCATTTCTATCTCCATAACCTCTATTTCATATGTCCACTTCTCTCCACTCAGAGACCCACAACCCTAGTTATGCCCTCACAACCTCTTCCCTGGACTATTGGAATAACTTCCTATTTGGTCTTTCTTCCTCAAGTCTACTCTCTACCCATCTGCCCAGTCCTGCTTTCCCATTCCAACTCTGGAAACAGTAATCCAATCAAGACTATCATTCTTGGAAAGGATGAGTTAATCAACTATTCTGTGGCTCCAGTGTGTCTTTGTCATTTCTAATGTAATCTCAAGTTGGTCTTCACTGTTGCATAGCAATTCTTTTAATTGTACCCTATTTATTCTCTATCACACTTTCCACATTCTTTATCTCATTATTCCAAATGTTTTCTTATCTCTTCAAACTTCCCATCACACTATCCTCTTCCTACTCCCTTTTAGCAAAGGACTCCCTTTCCTACTTTATGGTATAATTTCTTGCTTTGTAGCTCCTCATTGTTTCCTTCAAGAAGTAGTACAGTATTTTAGCTGGAGGATCTAGAGAAGAGATATATGATGTAGCAGAGACAATAGTGACAAAGTTCAGAGTAAGGATGAGAAGATCTAGAGACATGTAAAGAAAATTTTAGGACAATAGTGCCACTGTTCCTTGCCCAGGTTGGCTGCCCAAATAGGTTAGATACATCCAGACATGATCAGAGGTATCCTTCAGCAAACAAACAAATCAACACCTCCTGAGTACCATTTTCCACCAAATCCCTTATTACAATCCCTTGTACCATGCAGAGTGCAGATCTTAACTCCAGAATTACCAGAGTTCTACACCTACTGATCAGTCAGGAAGTATAAGTCAAGTATCTTGAGGGAACTGTGATAGCATTCCTTTGGCATATCTAGGGAGGAACTATAATTTGTAAGTCCTAAAATTCTTATGTGCCAATCAATCCTAAGAGCAGACACCTGAGGTCTAGGAGAATGACAGTCCTGTAGCTGTTCACAGATATGGAGCATTGTGTGCTAGGCAGCTAGGGGGTACAGTGTCTAGAGTGCATGATTCAGGAAGATCTGAGATTAAATCCCTCAGAACTCATCAGGGTATCAGCCAGGTGCACTGGGACCCCCTTTGAAGGACTGGAACTAATGGGAACAATATAACCTTTACCTAAAGCCAAAGAATGACAGTTGTCTCTGACCACTCCCACTGGGTCATTCTGGAAACTCTCTTTCAATCTGTTTCAGATACTTTTGACCTTGTAACTGGGAATTCTTACCTCAATACTTTAGATCCCTGCCTTAGCAGCTGCAACTCCTTCTCCCTTATCACTGATTCCCAGTTCCCAGAAGCATAACTTTTAACACATGGGTCTTACTGCCATTGCCTACCTCAGTCTTCAGTAATTTGTTCTGTTTTTATCTCAAGTTTAAAGGTCCCATGAAGTCCCTACTGACAAAAAAAGATTGACTCTACCATCACTGAAACTAAGTAAATATGACTTATGTGAATTAGATTAAAGCAGCTATAGATAGCTAGGTGGGACAGTAGATAGGGTGGGGGACTTGAAGATAGGACAGACATGAGTTCAAATACTGCCTCCAACACTTACTAGCTAGGTGATCCTAGGCAAACCATTTTAACCTCTCTTGGTCTCAGTTTTCTCATCTGTATTTTGTTTTTGCTTGTTTGTTTTTGCTAGGCAATGGGGTTAAGTGACTTGCCCAGGATCACACAGCTAGTAAGTGTCAAGTGACTAAGGCTGGATTTGAACTCAGGTCCTCCTGACTCCCAGGCCTGTGCTCTATCTACTGCACCACCTAGCTGCCCTCAGTTTTCTTATCTGTAAACTGGGTTTTATAATAGCCCCTATTTTAAAGGGTTGTTATGAAGATAAATTGAGATAGCATATGTATAAGCACTTTGCAAACCTTAAAGAACTATGTAAATATTACTTATTAAGATAGCACAACATGAAAAAAGTGCTTAACTAACTGATTTAGAGATATAATTATCATCAGAACAAAAACCAAGCATCAATATAAAAGCTCAGTCCATCGGTCAAAAAAACTGGAATTAAGTTAAAAATTAACTACAAAGTAAAATGAAAAATTTTAACTTTCAAGAGTTAAGGCCAAAGTATTTCTGATGAAATCTGGGGTATCACATGACTATCTGTTTGCCTCCAGAACCCTGTATGATGGTGAGGAAGTCTTCAGTGCGGAAGGAACAAGAATCAGAATTATATTCTCCCTCAGGTTTGTCTTTAATCTTTTATGATAGGAATTAGTTTCCCCCTTCCCATGCTGTCTTCCAATTAATGACTGCTTTACTAAGCCCTTGATCAGGACAGGACCTCTGGTAAAGATGAGGGGTGGATTGATAGTGCAATGCTGATTCCTTGTACTTTCCATCCTTGGGGAGTAGGTAAAGAGTTTTGAGTGAATTTCTTTGAGAGAGGTATTACCTGTGTGACCCTGAGCAAGCCGATTGACCACCCTTCATCTCAGTTTCCTCATTTGTAAAATGAGAGGGTTGAAAGAGTTGATTGCTAAAGTTTCTCCCAGATCTAAATTCAACCATCCTATTATCCAAGTATTCTCTTCCAAAGTGTCCAAGGCCTCTTAGGAGAGTTACCATCATTTATCCCAACTGTGAATTATTTTAATCTGATCAATACCTAACCAAACACATGGGAACTAGAACTTTGATTGGCATGGGGAAAGGAGTAAAAGGAGTTGGAAAGGACGCTCCTGATTGAGGAGGGGGCTGTGGGAGGAATCTGATAGCCACAAGGAATTATGAATACAGGTGGGCACTGAATGCCTAGTAGTGGGTCCTATACATGTTCAATCCATGTTTATTACTAATAATGGTATTGAGGGGGAGTTTGGGTGAGGGAAGGAGGTTAGGAAATAATAGAAGTTTCAGAAAAGGAGTTGGAGAGGAGACAGGAACAGCTCTGCCTACTTTATAATTTCCCAGGTAGGAATCTAAGAATTTGTGTTAGAATGGATTGTCAGTTCATGAGCTGAGGTAGAAAGACTTGCTTGGAATGTTGTAGACCTCATCTTCACCCATTCTACTCAGCATTGCAAGTTCAGTCTAACCTCCCTAATTGAATCCAATGTCTGTCTGTCTGTCTCTCTCTATGTCTTTCCACGTCTTTATCTCCTTATCTCTTTCTCACTGCCCATCATCAGTAGCAACAGCAAACATTGAGCACCAAATATATGTGAGGAACCCATCCCCACCTCCACCCTCACCTGCAAAAAAGAAAGGAAAAAAGTGAAAGGCAGGTGCACCTGGCACCTGTGTTTTCTTTATTTATTATCTTTAGGCTACTATGAAATGTATGAGAGATTTGGGTATTTGAGAGAACTTTGTTGTGTGTTCCTCCACATGCCACAGGTTCTTTCTGGGAAGAAGCTAATTTTCAGTTGGTGACATTTAAGAGTCCGCATTTATACACCTCAAAGCATGTGTAAGCACCTTTTCAATTACAGGTCTTAGGTAAAGAGGGACTTTCAGACTTTTAAGTCGTGACTTCCAGACATATGGGAAATCGTGTGTCATAGTTGAGGTAACCTCTTCCTCCTTTACCCAAGTGTACTATCTGAAGCTAGCATTATAGAATGGAAGAAGCAGATAGGTGGTGCTGAGGATAGAGCATCAGGCCTGAAGTCTGGAAGAACTGGGTTTCAAGTCTGGCCTCAGACACTTACAAAGGCAAGTCACTTCATCTCTGTTTGCCTCAGTTTCTTCAACTATAAAATGGGAATAATAACAGCACCTTCCTCCCAGGGTTGTTGTGAAGATCAGATATTATAATTGTAAAGCACTTAGCACAGTTCCTGGCACATAGTAGACACTCTATAAATGTTGCTTTTCAGTGATTTTTCAGTCACATTCAACTCTTCATGACCAATTTTGAGTTTTTTTTGGCAAAGATGTTGGAGTGGTTTGCCATTTCCTTCTCCTGTTCATTTTACAGATGAGGAAATTGAGACAAATAAAGATTAAGTGACTTACTCAGGATCACACAGTTAGTAAGCATCTGAGGAAGATGAGTCTTCCTGACTACCAGCCCAGAACTCTATCCACTGCATGAGCTAGCTGACCATATAAATGTTACTTATTATTATTTTGAAGTCAAAAGCCTTTGGTTTATCCTTGTCACCTGTGTGACTCTGAGCAAGTCACTTAACCTTGCTGAGTTTCTGTTCCTCATCTGTAAAATGAGTGGATCGACTAGCTAACCTCTAAGGTCCTTTTTAGCTTGAAATCCATGATAATATGTTGCTTCTATTGGTAATTCTTGCTAAAGATCCACCAAAGACAGTGACTCTGTACCATATACAGAATGATGCATCCTTCATTATTGGAGCTTTTAAGTGAAGCTTGGCTACCAGTTGTTGATAATGGGTTCTCTAGAGGTATGGGCTGAGCCACATGAAATTCTGAGATCCTTTCTAACTTTGACATTTTGTACATCTGAAATCAAGGAATTGCTAGCATCCCATAAGAATGTCTTATTAATTTGGTCCACTCACTTACTCTAAGCGTTAGATAGGATTTTGTTTCCTTTAAGGAATTTTGCCAAGTTATAAAAAAAAAAAGTCAAGTACTAGAATTGATCACTTCTGTGACATCTTAATAAAAGTATAGAAAATATAAAAATTAAAGCCCATTCTGTTTGGTGTTAGCTCTAATTTTTAAGTTCTCCCTTACAATGAGTTTGAATGTGTCTCTCTGAAACTTCCTAACTTCCTCCCCTCTTCCATTCATAGGTCTGTGCATAGTTCTGCCCTCTGGGACAAAGCACAAGTCAAATCCCTCTCCTATGGGAGTATCTCAAGTTTTTGAAGATATCTGTCACCCCCGTACTAAGTGTTCTCCTACCTAAAATACAAATCCCCATGTCCTTTCATTGATTCACAGATAGTATGGTCTTGAGATCTCTCAATGTCCTTCTTGCATTCCTCTGGAAATTCTCCAGCTGATCATCATCAGTCCTAAAATATGGCTCCCAATGTAGATTGATCTGAGTAGGTTATGATAGGACTATGAACTCCTTGTGTTCTGTATAATATTCCCCCTTTAAGGCTTTCAATGTTTGCACTAGCATTTTTGGCTATTACAGCATCCTATTGACTCACAATCCATTAAAATCCATTTTTGAAATGAACTTGAGTAGCCTTATCTCTCTGATCTTATACTTGGGAAAGATTTTCTTTTCATGTAACTGACAACCTCATCATCTGAGTTTATGACATATCCCTATTAAATGTTTATATTATTCTATTTGACCTGTCTACCCTGTCAAGGTATTTTTGAATCTTGACTGGCATCCAATGTGTTATCTTCAAATCTGATGGCTTTATTTGAGTCATTTCTAACACTCAGAGATAGGAATAAGGCCTGAACCTGTGGCTTCACTGGTATAAGAAACTTCCAGGTAAGGAAACTCCTTTTTTTTTTTTTTTTTACCAACTCAGGTCAGTACCTTCTCTTCTCTTCTCAATGTATAGTCTTAGAGATTTGCCTAGGACACTGAGAGGTTAAGTGACTTTCCCTGGGTCACTCAGTCAACATATATCAGGGACAGCACTTGAAACCAACTCTCTAACCACTACATCAGACTGCTTCCAGTAACAGTAGCTACAATGTCATTAGTACTATTAACTGGTGATATATATAGCACTTTAAGGTTTACAAAGCACCTCATATTATTTGATCCCCCAAAATACATTTTGACATAAATATTCAAGTATTATTATCCCCAATATATAGGTAAGAAAATTGAGACCCAGAGTTACTTCCCCATGGTAATATAATTAGTAATAGTAAGAGTTAGCATTTAAACAGGACTTTAAGGTTTGCAAATCATTTTACGTGTTATCTCATTTGAACTTCACAACAATCTTAGGAGTAAGGTGGTGATTATCATCACCATCATCACCATCATCGTCACCATCATCCACATAGATACTAAGTGTGACAGGTGGGATTTGAACTATCGTCTACCCTGATTCAAGCATTCTTTCCAACACACTAAGCTGCCTCTTTTTGCTTCCATATTTGAGAATGAAAGAAATGTACTTTCAAAGGGTGTGTGATGTGAAGGTTGTGTGATACATCTATGTCCCAGAATGACTTTTTGTTTGCTATTCCAGCAAAGGACAAGGTTAATTCCCTATTAGCACTTTCACTGTGATTTCACTCTGATGCCAGGGGATGGTTTTTATCATGGTTGTGTGTTCTGGAACTACAAGCCATTCTCCTCAAGATTCAAGATATCATTTATCTGCTCAAGGCTGGGTTTTTACCCATTGATTTTAAGTGATTTTATAGAAAAATAAATAACCCTACTTAAGCAGCTAAAGTAAGGGAAATTCTAAATTAACACAAAATTACTGTTTTGTAATAACTTTAAAAACCCCAAAAGATTCATATTTATCACAGGATCATACAATATTTCAACCTGAGAGATGAAAAAGACCCTAGTTACCCTAACCTCCTTGCCAGTGCATTATTCTTTCCTAAAACACTCCTACAAACTACCTCTGTTGGAGCTCTTCCAATGGCAGGTAACTGACAAACTAAAAATGCAACCTGTTCAATATTTGGAAATTTCTTTATTAAGAAGTTGCTCTTTATATTAAACCAAAATCAGCATCACTGTAATTTCTACCAGTCATTGTAATCTTTGTACTCTGGACCACCACAGAACATATCTTCTCTCTGGCATATGATAGCCCTTCAAATAATTGAAGTCAACTCTCATTTTTCTTCCCTAAACCTTCTCTTCTCAAAACCAAATATGTGTGGTTTCCTCAACTATTCTTTATGTGATACAGTTTCCAGACCTCACAAGAGTGGTCAACTCTGCTGTAGACATTCTCTAGTTTGTCACCATCTCAACTGCATAGTGGTGCTCACAGAACAACATAATATGCCAAATATGATCTGGCCATGACAGAATAAAAAAAAATAGTGTCTCCATATTTCAAACAGGAAGCCAGACAGTCCAGTGGATACAGAACTGGACCTGGTGCCAGGAAGATCTGAATTCAAATCTGGCCTCAGACATTTCCTAGCTGTGTGACTTAGGGCAAATCACTTAACCCCACTGTGTCTCAGTTTCCTCACATGTGAAATGGAGATAATAATAGCACCCACCTCATAGGGTTGTTAGTATTGTAAGTATAAAATGAGATAATATTTATAAAGCACTTCCCAAAACTTAAAGTCATATATAAATGTCAGTTATTACATTTTTTAAAATTTTGGACTCTTTCCCTACTTGAGTCATAAATTTCAGTGCTTTCTTTCTTCTTCATATATACACTCCATAATTGAAGGTTAACAAGTTTCCTCAAAAGCATATACTGGCTGACTGGCTCTAAACTTGTCAGTAACTCATTTTTTACCTATGGTATTTTGTTTATTTCACTTACAGGCTATTTTCTCTGCCTTCTCCAGGAGTTGGCCAAAATAATCTTCCAGTAGGATCTCTGACTTTATTTTTTTGGCCAGTAAGATCTCATTTTCCTTCTGTAGGCAGCCAATCAGTCAATAAACATTTATTATATCCTAGGCACTCTGCTAAGCACTGGGGATGCAAAAAGAGGCAAAAAACAGTCACTGATCTGAAAGAGCTCACAATCTAGTGGGAGAGACAAGAAAACAAATATGTAAAAAGATGTTATATACAGATAAATAGGAAATAGTTGACAGTGCTCTAGAAAGACACTAAAATTGAGAAGGGGTAGTAAGGGTTTCCTATAGAAAGTGGGACTTTTATTGGAACTTAAAGTAAGCCAGGTAAGCCAGTAGGCAAAGATGAGGAGGAGCTTTACAGGAATGAGAGATAAAATGTCCAGAGCCAAGAGATGGAATGTTTCTCAGAGTAAAATGGAAATATCTCCACATCTCTGACAGGCAGCTGAAAGCACAGTGGATAGAGTGCTTGGCCTGGAATCAGGAAGTCCTGCATTTAAGTCTGGTCTCAGACACTTACTAGCTGTGTGACCCTGGGCAAATCACTTAACTTCTGTTTGCCTCAGTTTCCTCAACTACAATATGGAAATAATAACAACATTTACCTGACAGTGTTATTGCAAAGATCAAATGAGTTAATATTTGTAATGTATTTAGCACAGTGCCTAGCACATAGAAAATAATGCTTATTCCCTTTACCTATTTATCACTGTTTTTTCAACCATTTTTTATACGTTTTGGTATGGCACATATTTTCTAGCTTTCAGGTGTCTTGTTTTCTGAGACATGCTAAGAAAAAAAAAAAGCACAGCCCAATGCAGTATTCTTTTGCTTTGAGTATATTTCAATACTAAATTTCAATTCTTACATATGCAAAAGGCTTTCCAAAATAACCACTGACTTTACTTTTTTCTTTCTTTCTTTTGAGTAAAATTCCTCTCCTGAATAGCCTTCCTATTTACTATTTGGTGTAAAGTGCTTGTGATTTCTTTTCAGTAAATTTGAGTCACCAAAAATATGTCATAAACTGTACCAAGTTTCTATATAATAGGTACCTGTTGATGTGGATTCTTAATAGACAGATCCAGGGATGTATGATGCAATCACAAGAAAGTTCTATTCAATAATTACACTGATAATGAATGATGGTTTTTCTTTCAGTAGGCAAAAACCAATTCTTGGAAAAAGAAAAAATATAATGGCTCTCCCAGAAGATGACAACACAGTCAGGGACAGTATTAATCTGCAAGACATGCAACTTGATGAAAAGCAGCTGAAAAAGAAAGGTAAAGCCATGAAAGTGATATGTAGCAAAGAATCTATCTCTCTCTACATTGAAAGCTCATGAATTAAATTCAGTGAATTTATTGGACACCTACTTGAAGCAAAGTATTCATCACCAACTACACAAATATCTACTGAATATTTTCTCTGTGTAAGGAAATCCATGAAATCCTGGTGATACAGAAACAACACAAAAGAAATGTTTTCTTTCCTGAAAAAGTTTACCTTCTACTGCAGATAACAAGATGTAAACAGATAGAGAAATGCAATGTAATTTGAGGATAGAGAACACACTAAAAACTAGTGGGAAGCAGAGATCAAGGAAATCTTTATGTGGAAGATGTCATCTGAGCTACCTTGAAGGAAGCTAAGGTTCTAGGAGGTGCAGAAGAGGAAGCAGTACATTCTAGGCATAGGTAACAGCCAGTGAGAAGGCATGGAGACAGGGGATGGAATGTTCAGTTTGAGGAACAGTTATTAGAACATTTTGACTGAAACAGAGTTTGTGAATGGGATTTAGAAATAAAGGATATCTGTGACTCTAATCCAGATGCTGGAATTCTAAGGGCTCCAGTTTCTTGAGATAGAAGGTAAGGATTGATTCCCACCCATCTTTACCCAAGTGCTTCCCAAGTGATGAGGTCGGAAACTGGAATGCAGAAGGTTTAGAAAAGAGAAAGAAGAGAGGAAATGGAGAGACCAATGGTGAATGACTTGCTGAAGGAGAAACAGAGGAGAGACATGGGATGAAGGCTAGCAGGGGTAGTAAGTTCAAGCTAGGGGTTTTTAGGGGTGGAGGAGTCATGAACCCACTTGTAGGCAGCAGAGAAGTAATCAGAAGATACAGAAAGATAAGAAAGTGAGTGGAGATCATAGTGGGTTGATCTGCTGGAAAATATAAGAGAGTATGTGATCAAAGGTCCATGTAAGGATTAGTCTTGGAAAATAGAAAGGTCCATTTTTCATACAAGATGAAAGGAGGAGAAAGTGGATGAAGATGTCTGGGAAAAAATGTGAAAAGAGAATAAGGAAAAATGGAGACATTAGGAAGAGCCTCAATTTTATATGATGCATGAACCTCAGGCAAGAAGGCAGGAGGAGAAGGTGTTAGGAGAGGTTTGAAGAGAGAAGAGAAAGTTTAGAACAGTCACTTTAGTGGTGGGTTAGAAAATTGGTTCAGGAGACATATGGGTGCCTTTCTGTAGTGAGAGCTCAATTGTGGATTAGATAGAATAAACTTGTAGTGGATTGTATCAGCATAATTTAGTGATTTCCTTTAGTTCTATTCAGTAGTAGGTGGGAAGGAGGAAAGAAGGTTGATAGTAGCCAAGGACTGAAGTTTGGTAAGGTATGATTGATGATTAGACAAAGAGACAAGGGATTAGAGAATAAAGGGTAGTGGAAAGTTGAACTGGCTCACCAAGGATTTGAGACAGGGAAGGGAGCACAGGTAGTATAAAAGTGATAGTGTGGGAATATCCTGAGGGGTGGAGAGATTGAGGGTCATGGTAAAAGCAAAGAATAGGGTTAGAGGGTTTTTTTATTTTTTATTCGAGGGTTTTTAAAGCATGGGAAAGATGGAATGATAAAGATTATGAACAGATAAAGGAATTTCAGAGTTTATGAACATGGAAGAGGAACACTTGTGAGTGACAACCAAATCATGAATATGATTATTGCTGTGAGTAACTCAACTAGAGTGGAGGAGTAGGTCATTGGAGCTGAATAAGTTGGGGAACTAGCAAGTTAGTATATTTGAATGGACCATGACTATGTAAGTTTAAGTTCACTAGTATGAAGGCAGGAGTTAAGGTGGAGAGACAAACTGTAGGAACTCATTAAGGTAGTAAGGGGAATGTTTTGGAGGTTAATAGATAAAGAGCAAAGATAGAAATAGAAAATCCATTTGGAAAGATATCTTGGAGTCAGATTGTATTATAAAGAGAAGTTTGCAGATTTCTAAACATGACAGTGAAATAATCAGACCTATCCCTTAGGTGGATGATTTTAGTACCATGTGGAAGACAGATTAGAAAAAAAAGAAGTTGTAAATTGGAAAGGCAATAAGAATGCTATTTCAGGTGAGAAGTCATAAGCACCTGAGCTAAGGTGAGTGGAAAAAAGACAAACATAAGAGCTGTTGTGGAGGTATGGGTTGAGGAAGAAGGATGACAAGGATGTCTCTGATATCATGAACATGGGTGACAAAGGATAATGAGACCCTCAACAGATGTTTGGAGGGGTAGTGAGATTATGGGGAATTTGGAATACCTATGAGGCATCCAAGAGGAAATATCTAGCTGGCACGTGGTAATGTAGATCTGAAGGTAAGGAGATATCTAGGTGAGATTTATAGGTTTTGGAATCATTTGTATGAAGCTAATACTTGAATCAAAGGGAGCATTTGAGGTCACTAAAAGAAAGAATGTAAAGAGAAGAGAGAAAAGGGATCAGAAGTGAACTGTGGAGGACAATCATGCCTAGGGGAAGGAGCATTTAATAATATTAACTACCTTTTCCTTCTACATACCCCTTCCTCCCTGGATTTTCCTAAAACTGCTCTCTTTTGGTTCTCCTCCTACCTTTATGGCCACTCCTGTTTCCTTTCCTAGATCCCCACTTAATATCTAATTAATATTGATTTTAGAGTTGATTTTACTCTGTAAGTGATTTTATTTTGGAACCACGTTCTGTATTCTAAAGACACTTCTCTGTCTCTGAGTAAAGAAGCTCATGTGTGCAAAAGTTCAGTCTCTATCTAGGCTTAAGCTTCCCCACAGTTAAAGAAAAATTCTGTTCTCAATACTCTCATAAAGCATTATCTCAGCATTTCCTACAAGGTTTGTGTGTTATCCTTGAGAAACTGGAATAACTGACCTTTTCCCATCTTTAGGAATTTAAAAAGTGGTTTTATCTAACCCTCCAGTCACCAATGAATCTTCATACCTTATAAGTGACCTCAGGATGAATCTGAGACCCAAAATACTTATAAGCATTAAGCATTCCTTAGATATATAGACAGATAGTCTTCATCTCACATGGGGGTTATGCCCACTTTTTAAAATGTAATCAATCATGATCCCTCACCACTGTGATGCTGGCTGTGCTTTGTTCTACCCTTATAAAAATGAGTTTTTTCTTCAGTTCTGGGTCTTTGGCATAAAAAGAGGCAAGCCACTGACCCTTTTATTAATAGACATACCACCATATTAATAAATGTTACCTTGCTTAGAGAAATGTGCTTCCATTTACCTTTTTGTTAAATTTCACACATGACTTCCCACTCACTAAATGTGGATATCACACAAGGGTCTGTTCCAGGAAATCTTTTATCTCTATAGCTCTCTCTCGGTGATCTCATCAGTTCTATGGATTCAATTATCATCTCTATGCAGAAGATTCTTAAGATCTAGAGAGATCTAATTATGGGTGTTTTCCAAAACTCTAACTTGGGTCCTCCTCTCTTTTTCTCCATCCATTCTATTTTACTTTGTGATCTTATCACTTCCTATGGATTCAATTATAATCAAAATAGTAATGATTCTCAGATCTATTTATCCAGCCCTAAAGTCTCTCTTGATCTCTGGCCTTATATCTCCCACTGCCTGTTGGACATGTTGGATTCCACAGATCCACAGATTGGATATTCCACAGATATCTTAAACTTAACATGTCCACAATTTTACTCAGTTTATTTACTCCCCAACTGTGCCCCTCTTCCTAACTTTCCTATTACTCTGGAGGACACCACTATCCTCCCAGTGACCCAGGTTCACAACTTATGTATTATCCTTTACTCCTCAAAGTCTAAACCCTCATATTCAAAATGTTGCCAAGTACTACTGATTGAACTTTCATAACATCTTCTCTCCTATGACACTGTCACCACCCTGGTAGAAGCTTTTATCACCTCACATCTAGACTACTCTAATAGCCTGCTTGTTGATTTTCTTGCTTCAAGTTTTTCTCCACTCCAGTTCATCCCATACTCAGCTGTCAGACTGATCTTCCTAAAGGCAAGTTTGACCATGTCACTTTCATACTCCAGTAGCTCCCTATTACCTGGAAGAACAAATATAAAATCTCGTTTAACTTTTAAAGTCCTTCATAACCTGTCTCTTTCTACCTTTCTTGTCTTCTATAGCATCTTATTCCTTACCTACACAAACACACTCACACACACACACGTATACACACATACACTTTGCAATCCAGTGACAGTGGTCTCCTTAATATTTATTGCACAAAATATTACACTTCCTGACTAAGCATTTTCACTGACTGTCCTTCATGCATGGAATGCTCTGTCTTCTCATCTCCATTTTTTGCCCTCCCTGAATTCTTTTGAGTCTCACATAAAATCTCACTTACTACAAGAAGCCTTTCCCAATACCCTTAAATACTAGAGACTTCCCTCTGCTAATTATCCCTGATTCATTCTGGATATATCTTGTTTGTACATAGTGGCTTGAGTGTTGTATCTGGCTTTAGACTGTGAGCTCCTCAAAAAAAGAGACTTTTTTTCTTTGTATTCCCAGCCCTTAATGAAGTGCACAGCATACAATAGGCACTTCATAAATGCTTGCTGGCTGACAGATATCCAGCCTCAAAGCTAGAAAGACTTGGGTTTTATGACACAAAAAGTTCAAGAGACATAGTTTATGGGTAATTAACAATCATTTTATTAATCAAGACTAGTGGATAATCAATAAAAGGATCATTTAGCTATTTCTTCTAAACCAAAGACCCTTCATGGAACCCACTTAACCTTTATATGTTCTTGGATGAATAGGTGTTCCTGAGGGTGGAAATAAACTCTGATTGGTTAACAAGTAATGAGAGAATGAATATTATCATGAGAGGTGGGTTTATTTTAATGAAGGTCTGGGGGAATGTGACTCTGATCACTCAGTCTTAGTCAAGGAGACTTATCTATACCCATGCCACCCTTAGACAAAAGGAGGAATCCACTTCCACTCAGACCTATATGACTAAAACACAA